CAACTACTCTGTAGATTCCATTGATTCAAATTGGCCTACTGTAGTACAACTTACTAGGCTAAGGAAGAGAATTTTGAGCAGTGACTTATTTGGAATGTATTATTTTCTATTTTTAATACATGTTCTGAGTAAGTTCTAGAATTTAAAGCAATACATACCAGTAATAATGACAGTAACATTTCTGATGGTATGAAATACACTAAAATGAGGGTAATGCTATCAAAATGTCAAAAAGCAAAGTGTGCTGCTTATATTCCACTCCATAGCACCTAAAGCACTTTCTTGGTGGTTTACAGTTTAATTGTGCAGGCTACACATTGCCCCCCACCAACAAGCTGGGTGGAAGGCTGAGTCAAACTTTGTCAACTCCAGTTTTTAGAGTACAGTAGTATCTCGGTTTGCGAACGCCTCAGTTTACGTAATTTTTGGTTTACGGACCGAAATCCCTAAGAAAATCTAGCCCCGGTTTGCGTTCTTTTCTTTTTCTTTCTTTTTTCGCACTATGAAAGGGTTTTCCCAGGGCGCATTGTGCTTATAGCACCGCCCCTTTCATAGCACAACTGGCATTTTGGTTTGCAAAATTTCCATACTATGTAACGTTGCATAGAATAGATCCAGTTCACAAACCGAGGTACTACTGTACTGTGTTTTTAATTGTATTTTAATTGTTTTATCTTTTTATTATATTTAAATTCTTGTAAGCCATCCAGAGACCTTTGGGTAGTGTGGGTGGCATTTAAGTTAAACAAACAAACAAACAGACCTTGAACTGGTTACCTGAGCTTGTCAGGATGGAACTCGAGTAGTGAGAAGAATCTTCACTGCAGTTTAACCACTGTGGCACAAGGCTCAGTGGCTGAAACCTAATTCAATATCAGGTGGTAGTGGTTGTGTTTTTGCTTCTGTTACTAATTTTGGCTAGCACAAATTTTATCCCATGGGGAATAATAATGAATATGTACTGCCAGTGTTACATAGTTATTTTTTATGCTGTATAACCAGTTTATAGGTATAGAAAATAAAAAGAGTGTTCACATATTTATCTACCAGGAAGGAATGATACTGAACTTCCTTTGATGGCTTATTAGACAGAATGACTGGCATGATGAATTGTTTGACCTAAGAATTGTTCCCAACATCTCTTGTGTTTTGTAGTTAATTCTCAGTGATGTGGACTCTCTACTGTATGTTGATACAGACATCTTGTTCTTAAGACCTGTTGATGATATTTGGTCTTTCCTGAAAAAATTTAATTCTTCTCAAATTGCTGCAATGGCACCAGAACATGAGGAGCCTCGTATTGGATGGTACAATCGCTTTGCTAGGCATCCATATTATGGAAATACTGGAATAAATTCTGGAGTAATGTTAATGAATATGACCCGCATGAGGAGAAAATATTTCAAGGTATGAGGTTACTTTCATATTACCATTGCTTATAAAATTATGGGTTAAAAGATATGTTTGCTGGTCATCACAATTGTATACATGTTGTTTTTCTGAGATGGCTTAAGTGTCACATATAAGCCAAATGTAAGTATTATAATCTGGAACCATGTATAGTTTTCAGCATCAGGGAGATGAAGTCATGCATATACTTAACGAATAAATAAATAAATAAACTCGATACTTGGTGGAACGCTTACTCCCAACTAGTTCTACCCTTGTCACCTGCGCGAGCCAGGAGGTGAGGCTGAGGAGCCTGACTCCGAGGAAGGCCCGGAAGGAAAGAACTAGAAACCGGGCCTTCTCGGTGGTGGCTCCTCGCCTCTGGAATAATCTACCTCCGGAGATTCGCGCTGCACCCTCGCTGGGTACTTTTAAGAACCAACTAAAAATGTGGATGTATAGGCAGGCCTCCCCTTCCAGTTAATTCCTGTCCTCTTTCCTTTTTTATTCTTTTTCTCTTTATTTGATTTATTTTGTATTTTTCCCATCTTGCAAAATTATTTAATTAATTAATTGTTATGAATTTTTCTTGAACTTGTTATCCTTTATGTTGTTAGCCGCCTAGAGTGGTCGAAATGACTAGATAGGCGGGGTATAAAT